TTAGCGGTGTTACCTTATCGTCATCTTTTGTAAATGAAATGATGTGAGGGCTTTATAAGATAACATAAATATGTGTATTACATACTAAATGTATGTATGCTTATAAATTTAATTTTTTATTTTTGCCTGTGTTCATACTTATTTTTATTTATCAGCCTAAGTATTGTTGATAAGATATGATGTGAGGTCTTACCTACCTTGACTATTCGTCAAGGCGAAAGAAAAGAACTTATTTCATTACTTAAAACTGCTGATGATAAAACAAATATTTTTTTAAGCAACTCAAGCAGGAWATATAAGTTACTAGCTAAAAAACTTCGATTAAAATCAAGGTAAATAGAAAATATTAGGTTGGCGTGAACTGCTTGATATATTTTGTTGTTGGAAATGTAAAAAATCGTTACTGTGGCAGACCTTGACCTGTATATAAAGGTTAGACCCAAAGACCCCAAATGTTAATTAATATGGTTATAAAATTTAAACCACTTGATGAAACAATTTTTAAATTTATAAAATTTTTGGAATAGCGTATTCCGTACGTGATTTTCGAATAAAAATAATATTCAATTTTATAAAACTATATTTTTTTTAAATACAACAACAGTTACATATTTTCTTGTTTACATTTTATTTATTGTTTACTTTCATACGTGTGTCTAAGTATAAAATTACAAATAAATGCATAATGTGTACATCATAATCGCAATCGAAGTCAACAACATGTTCACAGATTTTATTGCGTCAATATTTTGCAATTATGTAGTTGATTCATATGCATTTGGGCGCGCACAGTTGCTTCAAAAATCATTGCATGCTTGCAAATGTACATCTACTTGTCCACATATCATATATTATGTATGGATATGTATTTGCATACAAATGGATATGACATCTGACCGAATTTACAAATAAACAAAAACTTGTTTGTGGCACAACAGTTGCCATTTAAACGTACAAAGGTATGTATGTACGTAGGTGTTTAGCCAAAATAGAAACACTTTGACCAATATATTGACATATTTAGGTCAACGATTGAAGTGAAYATATTTGTAGTGATTATGCATTGAAATAGATATTGATATATTAATACAATAACCACTTAAAATTTTTTAGTCGCCGATGATCCAACAAAATTTATAAAATTTTATTGAGGAAAATATCTTTGGAATTTATTGCAAACTTGTTTGAGGAACACATTTTCAGCAGCTACAATAATACAAAAAATCCAAATTTAAAAGTTATACATATCAAACATTGCTTAAAATTACCTAAAGGAAGCATAGATTATTAATTTTTATATATGTATGTATGTATTAAKTACCCACCACTAAATTGCGCAACAATAAATATTATTTGACAAAAAAAAAAAATATTATCTCTAAAAAAGCATCTTCATTCAGTTGACAAATTCAAAATTTTTAATTTGGGAATAAATGAAAACGACTTTAAATAAACCGGTTTTTAAGTTATAAAATACATACGCATATAAACTTTTCCAGTACTATAATTTATAATTAACTTGAATATAGAAAGGCTTTCATTGTGTGAGACATGATCTTAACACTTACCTCCTCGCGATGCAACGTCCATATTGTATGAATGTGGCAACTGAAGTCTTTACAGTAGTGAGTTTACACACAGAAATCAAAAGAAGTGGCCGCAAACCAGAATCTTGCAAAAGTTTGTTGTTTTATGTCGTAATATTGTATAAAATATACCGGACCACAATATAGTAGACCACTACCCGTTTTTGTTATTGGTTGACACAGTGCCTGTTTTTTACCCAGTTTCGTAGCGCATGAATAATACAAACGTTCGTAGTAGTTGACTATACGACAATGAATCACCACTTCATTTGTTCGTCCAATAAGCAAAACAAGTTGGTGGTTCTGCTTTGAACTTATTTAGTTTTGCTTTTAAGACTGTGACGCTTTGGTCAAATCACTTTGATTTTGTTGGCTTTTTGTTTATTACATAAATTGTGCTTTTCGCTTTTTTTAACTTCTAATAGAAATTATAAAGTAATGGTAATATCTGCGTTTCTTTAGCTGGAAAACATTACAATGCAACGCAACAAAGCACCGTCATTAGACGTTTATACAATTCATTCAAATACATAGGGGAAATGAAAAATAATTAATTCACATCACAGAAGCCGGGACGCAACGAACATTGTGAAAAACAACAAAAGTATTGTTGAAACACAATGAAATAACCAAACTCACGGACTGGTTGTTCTCATTAAAAGAATACTCATACCAACGCCCGTACCGGATTGAAAAAACGCGTTAGCTAATCTTGACTTATCCCGCACATCGAAGGCTTTTATTAGCTACACACTTTGAACATTTCTATTAGGATTTAATATTTTCCAATTAGTTATGAACTAACACTGACCGTATTGCTTTGAAATAAACAMTATCCAATTGTAACAACTAACCAATTCGCTCCAGTAGAAATGCACTTTTTCCTGATTTTGCTTTGTTATTGATTTTCACACCTTCTTTCATACTTCGATCACAAGCCGTATTATTTTTTCACTAAATTATTTACTTTATGCTTTACCCACTGGTTTGAAATAAAGATTAATTAATTATTTAACACTTTAAGTAACTTTTGCACGTATCTAATTTTCACAACTTATTTTAATTCACTATTTTTTAAAGTTGTATTGAAAAGTGCATTGAGTTTATTTTTCCGCTAACACTACAATTCGACGTTCGAAGTCTTTTTCGTTTGTAGTTTATGGGGAGAACGTATTAACACTTTACGTTCTCTCCTACCACTCTTCAAGCAGGGTTGTGTTTTTAAGTTCTTTTAGTCTGCAACTTCTTTTGAAAAATGTACTTAAAATATTTCAAAATTATTTTGTGCAAAATTATTTTTATAATAAAATAATCATATAATATTAGTAGTAATTTAGATGGTTTTTATTTATTTTTTTTCGATGAATAACTTTACAATTTTACCTTACTTAATATGTTATTTTAGGAACTTTTAAAAACAACTCTGCAATTAGGCAAAACAAAATATTCCCTTAGTTTTGTTAATGTTTATGATTTTTCTAATAAAAAAAATGTTTTTTTTTGCATTAATATGAACTAATTTTTATTAAAACTAATGTAAACTCTTCAAGGAAATTTATTTTGTTGCGTTAAAAATTGTGCATATATAATTTTCATCAACCCAACTAACGCTCAGTAGATGTCGTACTGCACACCAAATGTCCGGTTTTGGCGATTTTATTTTCAGGACCATTCGTAAATATTGTTTATTTCCATACGCTTTTAATTTCWCTTTGTTTTGCATAGAACACATGCATTTATAATAAATATATTCTAAAAAACTGCAAATGGCGCTTACTGAAATAATGTTTCATATACGACGTTTCGTACACAAAAATTCCCGACACGCGAATTTGTTTCCAGAGAAATTATTCAACAAAAGGCACAAAATTCCGGCGCATTTCTATATAGCGGATGACCAATTGGTTGAACAAATAGACAATGCCATTCAGCCTTTTATGCAACAAACCAAATGTGATACCGCTATTGAAATGAATCCGGGTATTGGTTTATTTACACGCAAACTACTGAATCGTGATGACCGTTTAAAAAAAATTATACTCATAGAGGCGATGGAGCATTTTCTTCCTGGGCTACATGATTTTCATGCACTCTACCCGGAACGTGTAAAAGTGAAGCACAATGATTTGACGAGTTTATGGAAGTTGTCATTTCAAGACAGAATGGATAATGGCACCCGAGTTGCGGATATGTTATCTGATTTGCCAAAACGCGAACACAATGAAGGTAGATTGTACAAATTTTATCACTACAAAAACMAAATATACATATAAATATTTTTATTGCTAAATATTAATAGATCCCAGCGCTTTGTTGTTTGGTGCCGTGGGCTGTTACAATTTCTTTAAACATCTTGTGAATTCTATCATTTTTCAAAATGGTATGTTCAGCTGGGGACGRATGGAAATGTTTCTTGCAGTACCACCGCCCATCTACATAGTGAGTCTGTTCACTATATTTATTTAACGCTACTACTAAAAGCTATCTTACAGCATTTGACCTGCAATAATGATGTGGGCTATATGATATATAGATCAATATCCATGCTTTTTCAAATGCTCTTTGAATACCGCTTCATCGCGAAGTTACCACGTGAGCATTTTCTRCCAAATCAAATCGAACATAAGCCCATTAAAGGTAGTCGTCTTAGAAAGGTAAATAATAAAAACTCATATGGTATATGGATTGAATTTTTCAATTTTAATGCTACAGGTGCAATCTATTAATCCCGAGTAYTTATATTTGGTACGAATAGTACCACGTCAAAACTTCTTTGATCTTTGTCCGATCGAAGACCTGCAACCACTTTGGTACTTTGTCAAGCAGAACTGTGTTAGCCGTCGGAATCGGATAATACCAAATCTAGAGTAAGTTAGGTGTATACTATATTACTAGAGTAATAAACGTGAAGAATTTTTGTTTTAGAAAATGGGTACCAGGCTGTGGACCACGTCTAATAATTAAGAACTTGCCTTCAGAAACATTAAAGCMTCTTTATCCAGATGAGGATGATGTAGAACTGCCGCAATACTCAACACGTTGCACCACCATGAGCAATCGGAATTTTTATCCGAATATGAACATTTACACACAATTCGGTGATCTATCTGCAAGTCAAATGCTGACATTATTCACACAATTTCGAAAATGGCCCGAATATAGTGAAAGTGTATTCGTGGCATCWCTGGAAAACACTTTGTTAAAACTGGAAGCAGCCGCGGATGAAAACATGGCCATAACCGAAGAGGATGATTTGCCAAATGAGGAGACAGCTTTTGAAGATGTGAAAGTAACTGAAACTGAAAGCGGTCAAACCAAAGCGCTTAAGAAAAGTAAGCTTAATGCTGCAGTATCAAATTAATTTGAGGTTATATTGAAAATCATGTATAGAGTTGTAATTAAAAGTAAATTATGTTGAATTAATATTATTGTTTAGTTCAGTTTTAAAGAAAAGGTCAAATTTTGTACACATGAAGTAACTATAAACTATTATTGTGTGAAGAGTATATAAAAAAATACACTACTTTTTATTATTGTAAATTCGTGGCATTCTATCAGGATTTCACTCTGTTTTARCGCTGGGCGTACAAGTGCCTTCTATCGATCGTTGCGAGCCACGCGCACACAAATCAACTTTGCTCAGGTCATAATCCGGTTCATCATCATCCAGTAAGCTTACGCGCGTCTTCACAGAAATCGACAACTTTATGCAATCCAACATCAATGTCGAGGTATTTACACCTAGCACGTACGACAATTGAGCATTTGGACATGGCGCAGAACCGCCAATCTGATAGCAGACATTATTAATTTTCACCAAACCATCTACTTTACAATCATTCTTTATGCATTGGGGTAAAACTGCATTGTGTGCCAAAATAAGCATGTGCTCGGCTTCACAAGGACCACGCCGGAAGGCGGGATGACAGGAATCCGAGTCGGGATAGTATAATGCACCTAAGAAAAAAAGTATTTGCATTTAGATTGATAATTGAATGCTAAGAGCGATTTTATCTTACCTGGTGCACAGTCGCAAATCCAGTCATCAGCATGATCGCCCGGGTAAAGCAGCTCATTAGACTTACAGCGGGATGGAGAGTAGTGCGGAATGCGCCCCTTTTAAAAAAGAAAATCTCGTTAAGTAATGCTTTCTGTTAGATTTCGAAGAAACTTAAATTCTTATAAATAATCATGTTGTTGTGTTTCTATGTAATAATATTTAGAAATAGATTCTTATCAGCATGCTTTAGGGTTATTCCAATYTGGTGCACATTAAGGGCAACAATTTTAATATGTAATTGGAAAAGCYAGTCTCGTGTGTGGTTTTTAGATGTGTAATGAATTAAATTTAATTAGGAAAATTTCGTAAGGTTTTCTAAGGTATTGATTGCTGTTGCAAACAATCAAGACCTCATATGATTCTATTATACCCTGATCAGTTTCAGRTTTGTTAAGTTTGCCACGAAGTTCTTAACTTCCAGAAGTAAATTTTAAAAATCCTATAAAAAAAACGAACTAGAACCTCAGTTTTTGAGATAWCGCTCTGAAATTYGCATATGTACTTTTCTCTCCGAGAAGCCGTTCATTTGTGGAAACTGCCTTTATAGCATTTGGCTGCCATACAAATCGTTTAATGAAAATCTACACTTTGCATAAACAACTTTTTTATTTGACAATACATCTTCGCGAAATTTAACATGAATTATTTTCCAAWGCTATAATCTCCAAACAAATTKTTGCGATCGGGTCAGTATATCACACAGCTGTCATACAAACAGATCGATCAAAATCTGGTTCTTGCATGGAAACTTTTGGTATTAGAGTTTAGAATTTTTTCCTTGTTTTCTCACTTGTATTATTTTTATCACCTTCCTTACATTATTCACCGATCACGCATCAATTAAACAATATGCATATTGTACACAAATRCAAGATAGTACATTCATACATACATATGTATATGAACGCCCGAATATAAGCTTTGTATTGTATTGTAGATATGTATGTATATCACGGATACTACTAATTAATTATAAAACATCAATTCATACTCACTGCCGCGTTTGACTTCTCCTTTTCCAATAGAATTGGTTCTGGATATACTACCTCTGTAGAGGTATGTGTGATCACTGTAGCAGCGCAAAATACAAAAACAAATATGGCGCTTTTCATTTTCTTTATTGAATATTTTCTTTATAAAATTAAGGTGAATATTTCGCAAAATTGTCGAAATGTGCTATCGATACACGAAATTAGTTAACAAAAGTGCATGAAACACTGTAAACGAGTTTGTTTGGCTTTAAATCGTCTGCACTACACGACGCTCGTTGATAAACAAACTCGAAGTTTGGCGAAAGTCAGCATTACATCCAGAGAATAAAGCAAATGAAATTATACAGCTTCAATCTAAAAAGATCCCCCCAATTGGATGCGCGTCGAGAGAGAGATAACAAAAAGACAAATCAGTCCGCACAATAAGCAAAGCCGAGCTGAGCAACACGCTAAGAGCAAAAACTTGTTAATCAGCGAAGTGTTATTTGTACAGAACTTGAGTCTTTGGATTATTGAGTTTATTACCATATGAAAATATTATGCATAGCAAAGAATGTACATACAATTAATTTTTTTCATTATGAAAAAATTATAGACATTTGGGAGCAGCTTCTAATCTGTGACTCACTTCTCTAAAGAGTTCTTAATTTACGTAATTCTCGACTCTTTGATGTGAWTTACCGCAAAAACAACAGCAAACAAAAGGGAATTTTAAATTTACTATAATTTATTATACATACGACTATATAAAGAGGATTTTTGGTTTTATTCATATTCATAGCATATATTCAAATAGTTTGTCGTTATTTTCTTGCACAGTTTTTCGTTTTTCCAATTCGTTTATATTGATGGGACTATCTGTAGTAAATAAAAAAAAGTTTTAATATGTATGGAAGCTTTTTGATTGTAAACGATATGCTAACTTCATTGCAACTGAAGTAACRTTCTTTCGTGTTTGTACTACAATTGACATACTCACTTAGTTCGGCCAAAGCTTGTGCGATCTCCTGAATATACATTTTTTGCTTCTGCTGTCGGTATTCTAATACCTTTGTTGCTTCAATTAGATCAATACTATGGATATTCACACTTTTCATTTCAAAATCTCTTTTCTTAGCTTGCCTTAGATATATAATAGTTGTACAATCGAAAAATTATCAATCAACTGTTAAACTATAACTACGTACGTATGTATATACCTCTTCGTTTCAAAAATCAAACCCGCAGCGGCAACTGAGAATACAATTAATTCACCCAATAGTTCAGCGCCCAATTCAAGTGCCATTGTTTCGTTGAGTGGCACCACCTTCACCGGTCGACCTAAGTTCAATAGCAACATCTTTAGCGTAACTTCACACCAGTGAAAACCTGCCAAAGAGAGATTATTTTATATTTCGCATACATAGGATTTTACTGCAATTACTCACACTGAGCGGGTGGTATACAAATGTATTTCCGAAATATTTCGCTTTTTTTTGCTTCCTTACGTACGAAATTACTAATTGGACGTGAYAGTTGCCGCATACCCAGCAAACACAACTTTAAAATTGGTAATGTAATTAACACCATTTTTTCCAAATAAGTTAACGATCGAAATTTTAAGAACAAAATACTCTTTAAATATTGAGAAGTTTACCGAATGTGTATATAAAATAAGAACTCCTTAGGTATGTGTAATTCTTTMTTAGAGACGCGAGCAATATTTTGGTTTTTGTTTAATTTTGAGGTTAATGTTTTATCTTGGCGTAAACGGAATACGTTTGATTGGTTTTCCTATTATAGAATCAGGCGGAGTCAGAATTTTAAGATATGCACTTACATATTTACATACATATATTAAATTAAAACTTACCAAGTTCTTCAAGGGCGACTATTATTTGTTCAATATAAATAACCTGTAAATTTAACATATTCTGCAAAATTTCCACCGACTCATTTATATTTCGTTCCCGTTTAATTAATTCTTCTTCTGCCATTTCTTTCTGCTTTATTTGCCTAAATAATAAGAAAATGTAAATTTTCAATTCAATCTGTCTACTATGTTTGTATAAAAAAAAAATTATTTCTTTACTTATTCGTTTCCACAAGTAAAACTTTTGAGCATCCTAAAAAAACGACTATCTCCGCCCATATTGCTGCACCTAAATCAATGGTTCCTTCTTCGGTTAGTTGTTCCAATTGCGTATCTTTAGATATGAGCTTATGGAGAGATTTCTCACACCAATAGTATCCTTGTAATTCAAAAAGCAATGAATGAGAACTGGATAAATATTCTTATGTATTTACATACCACGGGCGGGAGGTTTTATAATATATTTGCGAAAAAATGTATTGCGTTGCGCGATATTTACAAACAATTTTTTAACAGGTTGTGTAAATTCCTTGACAACGATCATGGACATACGCAATATTCGTAACGTCATCAAAGCCATTGCAATTGTTTAGAAATTAAAAACAAAACAATAATAATTTCTGTAGTTGTATGAGCTGTTGTAAGCTCATAGTTTTGACAATAACTTATGTAGTATGTACAATTAAATCTATCCAAAAGAAAAGAAAAAAAACGAATATTTATCAYAAATTTCATTTTGAAATTGATGTTAATGTTAACTCGGCTACGAATACAGAGATGTCGCTGTCAATATAGCTTTAGCAATATGACATCGAACAGCTGTGTTTTTGGCGCGAAATTCCCCTGCTATTTGACAATTGAAATAAACAAAATCAGTGAATTAGGAAAACAATTGTGTTTATACAATTCGTCGACRTTATATTTTTGTCAACTTTGTATTTGTTTATAACACTGAATACCGCAAATAATAAAAATTAGTATAATATGGATGTGGAAATCAAGCAACAATTCGAAGAAATGGGTGTAGAGGCCAACGAAGATGTAATCACAAAATGTGAGTTAAATTCTTATTAGCACATGCTCAGCACTGCTAATATTACTATTTTTATTTAACTCCATATACAACAGCGTTGGAACTGTGTGCCAGCTACTGTTTGGATGACGCTGCTGAATTCGTGGAACAGTGGATGGCTTTTAGCATATCAAATCTAAATGGTGCCGAGCCATCAGTGGAAAATTTAACAGAATTTGAGCGTAAAGTGTTTCAGGCAAAGCGTGACAAAGAGTTGGCACAGGCTAATCGCAAGCGCGTCAGTTACGCTACGTCAAGCACAAATACAATATACGCACCGTCCGTAGACTCGAATCCACTAGCTATATATGGCGTAAAAGATAGTGCTGTAATTGATGACTATGATGTTGGTGGTGGCGATGCAAAYAGTGCTAGCCAAGATCTCCACGATGACGAACAAATGTTAGGCTCCTACAACATTTGCCATACACCAAAACCGAAGGTAAGTGCTGATAAATGTTTAAAATTAATTTTACACTAAAACTAACAAGCAGGATACTGTAATAATAAATGCAATTGTGTTGACAGCATTTCTTTTTCGGTGCTTATAAGATGCGCCATAAAGTCAATACGTGTATAAAAAGTATTCGCTGTATTATGTATTTGTAATCGAAACGAGCGAACGAATTTCACTACCCAACATGAGCCAAACTTACAACACGTTTATTTTTCCTTGTAAGTCAGCATCTCCTGCTGGTCCATAGCAAAACAACGCTCAAATAAATACATGATTAAAATAGATCCTACACATGAACCGTTAGTATTCGTGGGAATCTCAGTATTTGCATTTCACATCCAAATAACGAAAAAGCTGCAGGMTAGCCAAACGGCTAAAACGTACACTGCACCTATAATGTGGACATAACAAGCAATGTTACCAAAACAAAAAAGCGTGAAAAAAACAATGTGCGCCAAATCAATTTCGCAGAAAACAAGTAAGAATTGTGACCGCGCTACAGTCCAAAAAAGAAGCTCAACTGCCCATTTTTATTGACCTTTCTTTAGCAAAATGGGCATTTGCCTCTAATCTGCGATAAAATGCTCCTTTTGCGTACACTTATTTCTATTTGTTYACTTATAACAACAGCGACGCTAAATGCCACCAGCACAACCCAAGTTGCTGTATGTACACACATATATAYATATATACATATGTATGTATATGCATGTTAATGTGAAATCACAACTGCAAGGCGGCATCGCGTACCTTTCACGCTGCTGGTTACCGTTTTACAGTGCACTTTTTGGTTTTRCGTTTATTAACCATTCCACTATTTTTGGCAATTGCAAATGTGCAACGAACGAGCTGCTACATTGACATTTATTGCAATTGCCGTAGCTGTTTCCCATTTCTCTTTCGTTATGCTTAACATCTCTCACAATACAAAAGCCACAGCCACAAAGCCAGCTCCAGTTTACGTGTAAGTCGTCTTCGTCGTGGCGAATTATTTCGCGTTTCCTACATACATACATATATTTTATTTATATGTTTTGTTCTGTGAATTGGTGGTTCCCTATAATCTACTGACATGCTACTAGCATTGTGTTGTTTTTGTACGTGAGAGTTAGCGTGTTGCGCAGATTTAAGCTTGTTAAGCAGTTTGACAGACATTAATTTGTAATTTGCAATTACACAAACACGGCGACTTACAACATGTAGTTCGTATATTTGCATATGTATGCACATAAAATTACATAGATGTAAATAGTTATATGCGCAGAGTGTGAATAAAATGCTTACATACATACATACAATATATTTTAGCAATTATCAATATCTATGGCATGGATACGACGTGTTCATATTGACACGAAATTTCTTAAAAAACAGTTGCTTTTGAAGAAACTTAATTTAATGARGTCTTAAATCAATAATTCTTAATATGTCGCACTAAATAATTTTACTCTACGTCTGGCTTTCCATGCGCATAACGCAAAAAAAAATCATATTGCGGTCTTACATTGCATACTTCTAGGCTCGCATTATTAATAACATCACCAATCATGTATAAAACTACTTTATTCTTTAATATTTCCTGAGAAGTAATTCTGAGCTGAAACTAGTACTTAGTTATGCACTACGGAGGGCTTTTAGCACCGTGGTTTCCCGAAATTATGCCAAACACAATTTTTCCTATTGCAAATATAGTGATGTAATTTCAAATTTCTTATTTTTAAGCATAAGCATATACAATATAACAACAATATTGCAAAATTTGTATGCGTTAAGGGTTACTATCATGAGCTCATATGAGTATGAAGAATTTCCATCCTAATCTCTTTACGCACTTACATTCGTTATATAATATGGATGTGTTTACATGTATACATAAGTCTGTCAGCTATCAAGATACATAAATCAGTTTTATGATTCTGTTATAGATGTGTATAAGAGACAGCATATATACATATATACATATGTATGTATATGCA